GACTACTTCGCGCGGAGGGGAAACAGTGGTGGGATAGACGACGTGGAGGAGCTAGGGGAAGATCCCGAGGACCCCCGGGGCGAGGACGAGGACTTTGGTGGCGGCGGGCAGGGGGACTACGACGATGGCGACAAGCCTTCTGCCTCAGGGTTGGTGCATGGGGATGAAGGCAGCGACGGACAAGGCCAGTTCGAGCTCGACGACGAGGAGGCGACGGAACTCTCCGCGGGCAAGGCGGGTCGGAAGGTGCGCTCCGGGAGGGGGGGAGGCGTGCGAAAGCAGAAGTTTCGCGGAACCCCAGGTGGCGTCTCGGGTGGTAGCTCGGAGATAATGGACTTGATGAAGATGGCTGTGACCAAGTTGGTGGACAGACCGAACCCTCAGCAGCAACCGCCCGCGCCCGCCGAACTCGATGCGCTTAGGGCACAGGTTGCGCNGGCAGTTCCAGCAAGGGTTGGGGCTGTTGCAAAGTATTGCGGCCAAAATCGGCGTGGGACAGCAAGGAGGACATTCAGGGGGGGCGGCGACAGCTCCTTGGGCGCCGCCGCCGACTACTCCGGTGGCACCTCAAGCTACCGCTGCCGCGGCGACCTCATCACCGCGGCCGCCGCCGCCAGCTCCGGCGCCAGCTGCCGCCGCAGCGGCGTCCCCGGCGGGTGCCCCACCTGCGGTGGGAATACCCCCTCCCGCTGTTCTCCCAGGTTTTTCGCGAGAACAGGGGGCTAGGCAGCAGACTCCAGTAGCGCGGGTGGGTGCGGGCGGGTTTAGGGGGGCGCCTTCGGGAGGCCGGGTGACTGGGGGGCGTGGAACGGGAGGCGGTCGAGCCCCGGATGCTGGCGGCAATGAGAAGCGTCCTGTCGGGGTTAGGGGGGGGGGCTTATTCCGGAGGCCAGAGCGTGGGGGGCGGAGAGCTGGGACAGGGATTAAGAGCGGCAATTCGAATTTCGTGCAGCCGGCTTGGAGACCAGGCTAGAGCTGGGTGGTTCATCTTCCTCCCCTCGAAGGTACTCTGGCGTCATCTTTGTCCTTCGTGTCTTGTGTTTTGTCTTTTGTCCGTCTGCCAGTGTGGTGTATTGAAGCGCTTTCGGAGAGTGTGTACGATGGAGGAGGTGCCTGCGTGCACTATATCGGGTCGCCGGTTGGACCTTGCGTGTCTTCGTTTTCTGGGATTGCCAGATGGCGTCCCCCCCCCCCCCCCTGCGGCTTGGGCCCAACGGCGTGCGTTTCGCGTTTCGCGTTTCGCTGCCATGTTTGTTTCTCTCTTGAATATCCCCTCTATGTGCGCTACCCTGCAGTTATTTTCCGCTCGTCGACGTTCGCTTGCTGTCGTCTTTGTAGTCTAGTGCGAACGGATTTTGACTACAAAGAACGCTTCTTGCGCGCTCCAGCCTTATCGCCCCACCTGTTGCTTAGTTGGACGTGGGCGTTCCCACACCTGCGTCCTCGACATTCCTGTTCCCTAATGCGTGTTTTCTTCGTGTGTTAAGGGGAGAGTCTCCTGGAGACCCTGAATCTCCCGCCCCACCCCCCAGCCCACCCCCAACATACACATACCGGCTGTTGCCCCTGCGGCGTGGTTGCCGGATTTTTTTTTTGGTGTTGTTGTGCCTCGGGGGGAGCGGCTATAACGTCATCCTGCCTTCATCCATGGCTCACGGCTGACTCTGTTACAAGGTTGGAACGGACTGGCTTCGCCCCCGCCCACCCCCCACTTCTTGCGTTTATATTTCTACTTTTTTCTCCTTTGTAATGTTTGCGTTTGTCTTCCTGTCTTTCTTTGTCCTTTCTTCTACGATGTTTCTGTATTTTAGCTCGCTGCCTTATGCCGGTGGCGGATGTACCATCAGACATCTGCGCTCTTTGCTTCATGCCGGCAATAGCTTCCCCAGTGAAGAGGTCACTACCGACATGAAACAAACATCACACATGTCTACCGCTACTCCGTCACTGCATGGTACCGTGGGTTGCTTGCGTCCTGTATTGTTTCTTTCGTTTTCGCCTTGGTGTTTCTGCACTTCTTAGCCATTGCTGTCTTCCGATTGTGGAGTAGCGGTAGACATTTGTAATCTTCGNGTTGTTTCTTTCGTTTGCGCCTTGGTGTTTCTGCACTTCTTAGCCATTGCTGTCTTCCGATTGTGGAGTAGCGGTAGACATTTGTAATCTTCGCTTCATGCCGGCTATGGTTGCTCCGATGAGACGCTACTACCGACGCGAACCAAACGTCACGTATGTCTACCGCTACTCCGGCCCTGCCAATTGAGGGCCGCAAGAACAACCCGCCGCCTCGTGGTGGACGTAGGGCATGCAAATTTTCGTTCGTGGCTGCCTCGGTTTGAGTCTGTCCCTTGCTTGTTGTTGCTAGACGGGATTCGGGTTGTGGTGCATCACTGGTAGCCAGTCGGGTGTCATGTTTCTTGACATGCAGTGTTCAAACACAGGGTTCACGATAGGTTTATCGTCACGTGCATCTCGAGAGTGGCCAAGCGAAAGTATTCAGGACTACGTCTTCAGGCNGCATGCAAATTTTCGTTCGTAGCTGCCTAGGTTGCTAGACGGGATTCGGAACGTGGTGCATCACTAGTTGCCAGTCGGGTGTCATGTTTCTTGACATGCAGTGTTCAAACACAGGGTTCACGATAGGTTTATCGTCACGTGCATCTCGAGAGTGGCCAAGCGAAAGTATTCAGGACTACGTCTTCAGGCGTGATGCCGTGGTTGAGCTGCTGTAGACGGGCAGTGCGTTTCAGCGCACCGCGTTGGGTGATGGAGCACATTTGAATGAAGTTCAATACTCCCGTTATTCACGTGGTACAGCTAACCGAGCCTGTGGACGAACGCAGCCCTCTTGAAGACGTCATCACCCTTCTCAAGTATGACCTCCGCATCAGCTTTCAGCTTCTCTGCAAACATATCAGCGAGCATGCCATTCGTTACTACTAGAGTCTCAGCGGCACCTTCTGCCAGCGCCCCCGACCATCACCCCATGCCACTGACACTTACAGCCTATCAACCCACACTCTACCCTTCGCCGTTCAGGTAGCTGCGAAGCGACGGGGGTTTTACACCGAAGTAGAAAGAAGTGTTGTTGCGGTAGAAGGACGAGTGACAATTCGTCAGAATGCCGGCGACCGCATACTGTTTACCAAGCCCGCAAGCGCTGAGCGCNGCATATCAGCGAGCGTGCCATTCGTTTCTACTAGAGTCTCAGCGGCACCTTCTGCCAGCGCCCCCGACCTAAGCCACCATCACCCCATGCCACTGACACTTACAGCCTATCAACCCACACTCTACCCTTCGCCGTTCAGGTAGCTGCGAAGCGACGGGGGTTTTACACCGAAGTAGAAAGAAGTGTTGTTGCGGTAGAAGGACGAGTGACAATTCGTCAGAATGCCGGCGACCGCATACTGTTTACCAAGCCCGCAAGCGCTGAGCGCCACCTGCTGCTTCTTGGCATAGTCAACGTACGGCCAGAGGGCCACGATTTTTCCGAACCCCCATTCAACCGAGACTCTGACGGAGCTCATTGCNTCATAGTCATCGTACGGCCAGAGGACCACGATTTTTCCGAACCCCCATTAAACCGAGACTCTGACGGAGCTCATTGCGGTGTGGAAGGCCTGTTCGAAGGCGTTTAACACCCCCTTGTACGGCCTTAGCAACCAGGGCGAAAGGCTGTACGCAGGGTCGCCGAATACGTAGTAAGGGGTGCCTGCTGCGTCGTTGAACCACTGCTGCAGATCTTGCAGCAGACCACTTTCCCCTACCATGGCGACATCGTGGCGACGCCCGAGTATGGGACCCCAAAGCATGCGAATTATCCCATCGGGGGTGTCGATCGCTTGATACTTCAACGCGTGCTTTCGCTTCCAACCATTGTACCACAATNGCTGTACGCAGGGTCGCCGAATACGTAGTAAGGGGTGCCTGCTGCGTCGTTGAACCACTGCTGCAGATCTTGCAGGAGACCACTTGCCCCTACCATGGCGACATCGTGGCGACGCCCGAGTATGGGACCCCAAAGCATGCGAATTATCCCATCGGGGGTGTCGATCGCTTGATACTTCAACGCGTGCTTTCGCTTCCAACCATTGTACCACAATCTCTGATGACGCTTAGGTCGCGAGATCGCGCGAATAGTGCCGTCGATAAAGCCCCAACAACGCCTGAGCGGGGCACCTTCCTCATTAATCGCCTAACAGAACATATCCATCTTTGATAGAATTGCATCGTGTTGCAACTGGTTTACCAGGTGACCCCAGTGATCAAAGATCGCTTCGATGGTGAGGTTGAAGATCTCGCATATCATCTG